AGTTTTCAAAAAATAATTTTTAAAAAATACAACCAACACTAATAGTAATTTAATCAAGTCTAAGAAAATATTCAGCCGATCAAAATACTACAATAGGGTTTGCAATTGCCATTAAAAGGTATTTGGAATTGTAACGCTACTTACGGTCGTTATTTCAAAACTAGTAATAAAAGTATGATATTTTAAAAAATATTTAGAGTTCTGTGTATTATCTAAGCTCGAACTGTTTTAAAATTAGAAAATCTAAGAATTTGAAAAAACTAAATTGGTAATATTGGTACTGAATGAATTTATTTACGGACGGTAACTCTCATACAGCTTGGTATGAGAGTTATTATGTAGCTTTAACGCCTTGGTACTGGAAATACATAGTTGATATAATCAAGGTCTACTAGCTATTCTCGTCAGTCTAGTTTATGCAATGATTGTTGAAGAATCTCTTATTTAATTTTTCATGCTTAAATTTCCAATAATGGTAAAAAATATATTAAATTTGATTTTGGTAATTGATCATATCTTACTTCTATATCAATATTAAAAGGTTTACGTTATAGGTCTACGTGGATCTACATACCTTGTATTCCAGTGAATATTCTTAATATTGCAATGTAACAATAAAGAATTTCAAATAAGAGTCAATTAATATAAAAAGACTGAATACGACATCTACAGTTTCTCTTATATAAAACATAAACTATGTACAATTTGTTTATAGATTTTTAGTTGCATAAAATTTCTGTTCTATGTGCATTACTCTGGCAAATGGGGAAATAGAAGAATTTTCAATGTAAAATCCTTTTCTTTTTTATTTCCTATAAAACAAAAATGCAACAATTTCCTCATAATTCCTTTTTGTATTTCTCTATATAATAAATAAAAATTTCATTAACTTTTTTTTTACGTAAAAAAAAAACATTGAAATTATATACGTTATTGTTTACAATAAATCTGATTTTAGATTTATAGCAACTGTACAAGAATGATCAGAAAAATAATTTCATTATATCAGTGCTTCTTAAATGAACAAATTTGAAATTAAATTATTTTAATTTTATATTAATTTTATGGGCTAGCACTAATAATTTTCACGCTGCACGTAAATATTTTTTAAATACTTGCCAAGATTTCCAAATACATGTCAACACTAGTGCCCTTAACATGATTATCATAATATTATGGCAGATTCATTATTATGGTGCGAGAAAGAGTTAAAAATTCCATTTTGAGAAATTAATAATATCGTAAAATTTTTTGAGTTTTTGAAATTAGGGTTCGTTGCTCTAGAAATTTTTTTGATAATTTTTTTGACACTTCGATTGTTTATGTTTGAGTTTTTTGGCATTCATATTTGAATTCTCACAAAGTCCGAAATAAGCTATGATATATTATGAAATCTGTCAAATGACTTTCACAAATTGATTTATTATTATCAAATTTAGAATTTTTTTTCTATGTTCTTTTAAGTAAATAATTCAACAATTATTTTTTTTTGTTAAAAATTTCATACAGAATTTAAGATTGGAAAACTGTTGCATTATTCGTGCAATACATATACGATACTCATATATATCTCCGACTATTTGTATGTGAATATGCATACACAATAATATCGTAAATATGCATATATAATCGAAAATATAATCGAAAATATAAAATATGTATAGAAAGAACAATGTAATGTGAAAAATTAAAATAAGTTGACAATTTTAACCTTTTGACATTGATTTGAAAATTTAAAATAAGTGTTTGTATGTATGTTTAATTGTAAAAAGGAAAAGAAATTTGTAAATAGAAATAAACATAACATTATCAAATTAATTTTAAATTAAAAATATTTTTATATTTTTGTTCATTTAAATGAGTGCACATATAAAATAATTTGAGTATTTGGTGCGACTACAATCAATTCAGCAACAGTACATTTAATTATATTTGTTATAATTGGAGCATTTTAAATTTATTCAAAAAAATCTATTTATAAAATTGTGTTCATATAATTATACATACATACATACGTTTTTTTTGGTCTTACACCTGAAATCTTACACACACATACGCACATTACGAAATATATATATTTTTCAATTTATTTTTAATTGATTGATTCATTGCACTTTAATTTTATCAATTTCGTTTCTCTTTTTTTTGTAAGGTTTTTCCGTTATTTACAAATTTTTCTCTAAAAATATTTTAGACAAGGTATTCTATCTTATAAAAGTAATCGATTTTTTAAGTTAAAAGAAAAGCGTGTGAGAAATTGCAGTAATATTTATTTCGATAATATTGATAATCGATAATCGATAAAATAATAGTTGCCATTTGATTTTCCAATATAATTTGAGGTTAACTCTACTGAAAATGACTCTAATTGACTCTGTTTTAGGCGATCCATTTAATGGAATTACAAGATTACAATACTATATTTACACATTAAATATTGTTTGCCAAAGTTGTTAGATGTATACGCCAAATGGCCAATATAAATATAAATTTTTTAACAGTTTGCTTATAAAGAGTTTGAAGAATTACAGTAGTAAACAGTATTTTGTTTTTCGGGATAAATTCTGGAAATCTTTTTGCTGCATTCAGTAAATGTCAAGGAGGTAAATCGAGAAAATAACGAAGAATTAACTTTGTAATTATGAAAAAGCTGAAAACTAATTTAATCTTGTCTTGTGTTGATGCGATATAGATTACGATATGAGATTATTTATTTTCTTATCTTTATTTCTCACTAAACCTAGCTTATAATTGATGAAGTAATTTATTACTGTGTTGAAAATTCTACACTCTAAAGTGAAAATTAACGGGTTTTTAATTTTGGTTGTATGTACGCTTTCATACTTTTGTAAAACTGATATAAGAAAGTATGATTAAAATTAAATTTAATATAAAAATGAATTTTGAAGAAAACTTTCAAAAACAAATTATCGTAGAAAAAAAAATTTCCGTTCTTTAATTCAACGTCTTTACCTTGAATATTTTTTAATAATTTTCTAATTTTCAATATTGCATTAGTGTAATGTCAGTATCAATTTAATCGTAATTTTAATATGTCTTTATTGGAAGAAAACTCTGTGTAACTTTTATGTTATATTTCTAATATAAATATTATTTTGTTGAGAAAATGGTATTTTATCAACATATTTAATAATATGAAATTTATCAATGTCAAAAGATTTTATAATTCTATGTTTAAAAATTTTTCATCTCATATTATTATTACATATCGGAAATTATTAAAATAAATTATAAAACTAATATTAAAGTGTATAAAATGTAAAAATATTTTGATCAACTTTAACTTAATCACAAACATTTGAACGAATATAAATAAATTGTCAATTTATTGAAAATTGCAAAATATTTTAAATTTATTTTGACATATTTGAAATAGTAGAGTAACTATATTACAATTTACATAACAAATATTAACGACGCCTGTCTATGTCTGTATTTTGACGCATGCAATAAAATATTTTCTACAAAAATATTTTTATGCATTTATATTCTAAATATTATTGGTATGAATATTTGTGTATACATTTATAGATATAATAATGTAAAATGGTGGTGATGAACGAGTTTAAATTCATAAATAAAATTACTTTTAGATGTCAAAGTAATGATATGGAATAATTAAGTCAAAATATTTTTGTCATAGCATAAACTTGTCAAAATATTTTCTAATAAAAAATATTAATATTTCGCAGCGTAAAATGTAATTGCAATATAATACAATATACTTATATGTAAAGGTTTATGCTACATAAATATAGATGGCGTTTTAGTAACTTTTTAAAATTTTACATTACTGTAATTTAAATTTTTTGAATATTGAAGTTTTAAAATTTTGACATATTTAATGTCATGTATATTTTATTTAATATTTTATAGTTTATAAATTATTTTATTATTAATAATTAATATTCCTTTGTTATATTATACAATATAATTTTGTATATTCGTATAATTTAAATGAAAAAAAGAAAGGTGAAAAACAGTAAAATTTCTTTTGTTTATGAAATTTGTTTTTTATTTTGCTTCAAAAATATTAAAAATAACAATGTGAAATTTTCATTTCCATTATATTGTGAAGAAAAATAAGAAAATATGTGAAAAAGAATGTCGTTTTTGTATTTTGCAATATTGTTGTTAAAATTATGCGTGTATTAAAATTCTATTTTTAAAATAAGTTTTCCGTTGTTCTTTATACAAAATTAATATTTTTTTTGTCTTATTATCGTAAAGATTAAAATTAGTTTTTTCCATTTTATTTTAAATTGAAATTTTGTTTAAAAAAGTACCTACTTTCTTATACTCTTGGATTTTATTCAGTTAATTAAAGAAAAATTTATATTTAAATAAATTTTGTATTTTAAAATTAAAAAGAAATATGAAATTTCCATTTTGTTTTTTTTTTATATTTGGATAAATAATATTTATTAATCAATTCAAGGTAAACTATAAAATATAAAATAAATATTTACGCGAAAGTGAGAACACGGGGAACAGGGATGCTTTTGTTTTTTGTTGTTTAGAATAACAATATGTACTCAAAATAAATATTTAGAAATTATTTAATGAAAATAATAAAAAAACAAAGTATATTTTAAACTTGAACTTGTTGATAATAAAGTGAATTTTTTATTTCAAATGATAAAAATAATGATTTGTGTATTTTCTGTTTAAAATAATTAAAAATTTATTAAAAATGAGTACATTTTGAGTACTCAAATGACAAAAGTTTGGAATTAAGTCGCAATGGAGTGAAACTCTAATTTAGAGTCTCGAAAATTATGTAGTAATTTGGAGTTAAAAAATTAAATTATAGCTATGAAAAATCAAAACAATTTTAAAATTGTTCATGGACAATTTCATTAATTTTAGTGTCTTTTCTTATACGTTTCGAATTAATTTTGATTTTAGTTATAAATAGTTAAACAAATTTAAATAAAAATTCATTACTAATATATTTAATTTGTCTCTTATTATTTCAGTTTTTTTGGGTTTAAATAAAACAAAATGGAACAATTTGAACAGCTTTTAACATGTTGCGTATGTCTTGATAGATATCGTAATCCAAAATTATTACCATGCCAGCATTCATTTTGTATGGAACCCTGTATGGAGGGTTTAACAGATTATGTTCGGAAACAGGTAAAATGTCCAGAGTGCCGAGCAGAACATCGGGTTCCATACCAAGGTATACAAGCATTTCCAACCAATGTAACATTACAAAGATTTTTGGAATTGCATATAGATATTACCGGAGAACTTCCAGATCCAACTGCAGGTACCACTTTAATCATAACAATTTAAAAATTTATAAATTGAAATTAATAAATTTTTATATTTATTTAAAAAAAAAAGGCCAAATAATGGAAAGATGCGGTGTTTGTTCAGAGAAACAATATTTGCAACCGTGTGCACATTGTGAAAAGAAAATCTGTGAAGACTGTAAGAGTGCACATATGGATATTTTGAGAAGAGAAATCACTAGAATAAATAGTCAAGTAAGTATAGAACATCAAAAAAAATTTTAATTATTAAATTTTAAACTAAATATTATTTTATTTAAAAATTTTAGATTAGAAGAAGTATACATCGACTACAAGACGCTTTATCAATAATTGAAAAGAATACTGTTAATTTACAAACAAATTGCTTTAGTGTTACAGAAGAATTGGATGAAATTTATAGACGTGTTACGAAAACAATTAAAGATCGCACTGATGAATTACGCTCGCAAGTTGAATTATATTTATCAGCTGAATTAAGAAAATTAAGAACACTTAAAAGTAATTTAGAATTAGAAATAGGTAACATCGTTAGTAACTGTGATCTTGGCGAAAAACATATGAATGAAAATGTTGATTGGGATGATTGTGAATTAATGGACACCAAAGAAATATTCTTAAAGACAGTTGAATTCTTACGAAATTTCGAATATGAAAGTAATGAATCAAGTAAACGTATTCGTTTCTTTATGAACAAAGATCCAAATCAATTAGTTAAAGATATTGCAATACTTGGTGAATTAAGTTTCCCTCAATCGATTGCACAAACTAGCAATCATTTAGCACCACCATCAATTCAAGCTGGATTAAGTCGATCAAAAAGTGATCATCGTTTAACACAATTTCGTTCTAATGATGATCGCGGTTATGATGATGAACCGGTACTTGGTGGCCGTAAATTTGGTGAACGTCCAATTAAAAATTCTGGTAGCGATTATGATACTGGATCTTCACGTTATGGTAGAAGTGGTCGTGGTGATGATTACGATTACGATGAACCGACAACACGAACAAAACGAAATTTCCGTTCACGTTTTGTTAAAAGTCATCAAAATGATGATATATCCGATAGTGAACATTCTCGAGGTACACGTGGTGGAGGTAATAGCGGGCAAGATTCCTTTAAGAATGGTGAACGTGTTATTGATACTGAAGATGTATCACGTGGACAACTTAGTGGTATAATCCGCTTACAAGATTGTTCAAGAGTAATCAAAAGATTACAGGAGAGTGGTAAGGGTAAAAAGGAGAAAAAAACTGAAAAACCAACTGTAACTCCAGCAGCTCAACCAGCTGTAAGACCAAAACCAGCAGCACCAGCAGCAGCTCGTCAAGTTTCCCAAGAAGATGAAATTAGCCGTATTAAGAGGCAAAATAAGGAAACAACAAGTTCAACTGTAACTGAAGCAAGACAACAACCTATTGTTGAAACAGAACGTCCTACATCAGATAGAGTTACAGCACTTCGTCAACAACAACGTACTACTGCACAATCAACTAGCGAAGAAAGTGACAGTTCTGCTCAACCTACTCATCAAACATCTGTACAAACTGCCCGTAAAAGCCCAGCAGTTGAAGTAAGTGATTCTTTTACTTTTTATTTAAATTATACAATATTAACATACATTTGAAAGATGCATAAAAAAAAAAATTTAATAAAAATAAAATTATTAAATTTTGATTGCTGCACTACTATAGTTTTACCCTCAATTAATCAATTCCTTATTTTTAACATTTAAAAAATTCAATTGCATTAAACAGTGTTACTACCATTGTTCTTGTAAAAATTTCATATAACAAGAAGAAATTATATTCTAGTGATAATTTATTGTAATAAGTAAATGCTTATTTTCATGTATGCATTATGTATACATTAATTTAAAATTATATTCTTGATATGAACAGAAATAATATTTTCAATGTTGATTATCATATTTAAATATTTTTCAAAATTTAATTAAAGAAACATAAAATACTTAATAAATTCGCATGACATTTAAGCATGTAGTGTATTTTAAACTCTCATAATAAATATATTATAGTTCAATAAATGTACACTATGTGATGTTATAAAATCGTGTTATTTCTTGTCAAAATTATTATCATTTCAAATGTCAGAACACATTTTGTAAAAAAATGTTTTGTTTTTTAATGCAGCAATCGAAATTTAAGAAAAAGAAAGTCATTTCAGAAAATCAATTTTCATAAAATACTAAAATAAATATTGTACATATTTCATTTTATATAAAAATATTTAAGTATAAAATTTAAAATATTCATAAATCATTTTACAAAATTACTGACTTCTTAATATTGTTCTACTTAATTTTTATGTATAAAATTGTTCTCATATTTTTTAGTTGCCATTCTTATTAGTTTAATTTAATTTCTGTCGAAATCTTTTGTTGCATTTTCTTTAATATTTTCAACAAATTTTTTATATTGTAAATAATTTGGAAACTTTAAAAAAATTATTTAAATTCTGATTTCTTCATTCTTTGTATTTTTCCTCTGTATTTTCATATGTTATACCTTTCTCGTATCTTAAATTTTTCTCATAAATTTATTTCTCATTTTAATATTTTTCTAATATTTTCAAATAAAATTTTCATCTTGTATCTAATTTCAATTTCTTCTATTTAGTTATGTGAAGTATAATAAAAAAATTAAATTGAACTATATATAAAAATTTTTGTTTTGGTAGTTACTACATATAAATAAATAGTTTGAGTTTCCTAATATTTTGAGTGAAATTTCAAAGAAAAATAAATAAAATAGCTAATATCAGGGTTGTGTTTTGTTTGGAAATTAAATAATAACAATAATTTCAAATAATTAAATGTAATCATAATTAATTAAATTTTTTTAGAAAACAATATAAATATTATAATATTGAAAAATCGCTGCCAGCCGAAACAAAATATATAAAAATTTTCATCATTTTAATTTATGTTAATTACATATTATTTGTTAAGAAAAAAAAAATCAAATAATTTAAGTGTGTAATCTCACTTGTTTAAATCACACAACATTATTTCGTAAATAAGCAAAGTCACTCAATGCATATTTTAATTAATAAATTTTTTAGGTAATATTTTTTAATGGCAGAGAAAAGTAAGTGCTATAATTTTAGATGAAAAAAATATCATTTTAATTTAATTGCACTGCAAATTTATGATGTGAACACATTATATGTATTTGTTATTTTCATTCTGTATGTAAAAAATTCATTTTACATAATATTTTGACAAATAATCACGCACAATTTTAGAATAATGGGTGTTTCCATATTTTGACAACTTGTTTATTTAAATAAATTTCATTGTAATATTGACTTTGCTTACTTGTACTAGGTATTAAAAAATAAAATAGATTATTTACACTCAAAATGTTAAATTGACTCAAAAAATATTATTAAGAGGATGTGACCTATTCGACCTGTAATGTAGTATTTTACTGCAATTTCGAAAACTATTAGTATTTTTGGAATTTTATCGTTTAAAATTAGTAATTACATTCCTTTAATTTTTATATTTTTCCAAATTTTTATATCTGACCACAAAAAAAAAATATTAATTTATTATATTTAACTAAGCTAAAATTCATAATTAAATTTTGAATTAGAAATATTTATTTCCCAAAATTTAATCTAATATTGCGTAATTTATTTTCAATTTGATGATTTTGCTTTTTCCTTTTCAAAAATTAAGTTGAGTCTTCATTACCATTCACAGGAAATTCATTTTAAGTACATTGAAAATTCATTGGAAAACATAATTTTTTTTTTGCACTTCATACATTTTGAATTACATTCTTGACAAAATTTATGTTAGATAATAAAAATACTATTTTGCCACTATATCAATTGAGTATTTATCATTTTCAATTTCGATACTCTTAGAATATTTTATATATATATTTGATAATTTTCTTTTAAAGGTAAATTACTTGAATTATTGCAAACATTTGGGGGTAAGAAAAAAAAAACACGTTAATGTAGTATACGAGTACAAATTTGTATTTGATTACTTTTAAATGATTACTTCTTTTTTGACTCTGTGTTAATGATTTAATTTGACAGTTTACAAGAGTATATTATAATTCGATAAAGAAATCGATTAAAAAAATCGATATTTGTCCAATTGATTTGATGTCAGAACAATATTACAATTCAGCTTATCTTTTATACTGCTCAAATTTGCACGTTGATTCCATTTAATTTTATTCTGGAATTTTTAATGAAAGTATATAATACGAGTATGATACTTTTATATGCAAAGACATGAAAAAGTGCCTTATAAGAAAAAAGTGTCTTTTAATTGAGATGATCGTGTTTTTGTGTTTTCTATAAAAGTTCTTGATCTATGAAATTTTTTTCACATATTGTAATTTAATTTTTTTAGAGAACAAATTTCTGAATATTTTTAAAAATCGATGCGCAAATACAAGTTTATTGAGGTCTATTGAAATTAGATAATTTCTAAAGTTAATCGTACTTATGTAAGGGCTGCTATTTTTACATTTCTTAAACGGTTCCTACACTGTTTTATTACACTTTTTTTTATAGTTTATTCAATTTGAATTGAATAATTTAATTGCTTTTCACTACCTTTTATAATTTTTTAATTTTACTTTATATTTTTTAATTTTATTGTGTAAAAAAGTTGCTTATTTTTAGTGCTAAAAATCGATAAATTGTATTTATTTGAAGTAGTAAAGTTTTAGGAATTTTAATTGTTAATTTATTGCTAAACCTATTGAAATGCGTAAAGTAATTTATTATTATTTATTTTTAACTATGATTTTATTTATTTTATTATTTTTATATAGAAATTTTTTGTTTCCTATTTAATACTAATTTTTTATGAATTAAAATAGAAAATTTTAAATTAAATAAATTTTTAATTACAATTTTGATTTTTTGTAAATATTTTTTTTTAGAATTATCAAAATTTGACATTTAATTGGATTTTCACTAATTTCTTTATTAGTTTTTTTTAGTACAAAATACTAATTTAGTTTTTTTTTTAATTATATTTTTGCCTCTTCTTTTGATTTATATTATAATTATAACAATAATTAATTAGATTTATTTTTTGGTTACCAACACACATACAAATAATCTCTCCGTAAAGAATAATAATTTCAGATTTTCGATCTAATACACTGTGAAAAAGAGTACTAAAACTTTTTGAAAAAAAAAAAAAAATTAAAAACTGTTCTAAAAATAAAATGAAAAAAAAAACAGTTCTAAAATTTTCTTACATATTTTTTGTTGTCTTTTTAGTATCAAAATTTTTAGATTCTTTCATATTGAAAACAAGAAAAATTTTTTGGAATTCCTGATGTTAAAAATCTTATATAAATGTAAATGTAATTTCTACCATCTTTTTAAGTTTGGTTTCAACATAAGAAATGAAAAATTTGTTTTTATAATTATTTGTTGAATTTTTGTTTTTTTTTTTTTAAATTTTAATTTTCTTTTTTTATATTTAAAACATAAATTATTTCTTTTTTTTTATGTTTGTTTCAGATATCAAACATGCTTTGTATTGCATTTGTATGTTTGCTTTTAGTATATAAATTAATTTTTTAAAGAAAAATTATTATTAAAGTATTAAATTTTACTTTACATTTGATTATTCTGTATAACAGAAAGAAAAAATATTAAAAATATTAAAAATATTGAAAATTTTGAAAATATTGAAAATTTTAAAAATATTATATAAATTTGTTAATTACATATTACTATTATTATTCTTTTTTTTGTTGTTAATATTAAAAATAAAGTTTTGACGTCACTAACCTCTGAAATGTGTTGTTTTATTTGTATTTGTTTTCTTCTTTTAGTTTTCTGTTTTATTTTTTTTTTTTGTTTAAAGACAGTTGATTTTGTATTTCTATTATACACACAAACACAAGCACGCAATATGTATAAAAATTTTCTTTGTTCTAAAATTAAAAGCAAAAATCTATGCAAAACAAAAAAGACACAAAAAAAGAAATTATGAAAATTTTATTAATGCATTAAACATCAAATTTAATTTGACACAAAAACACAATGAAACAGCTTTTAAGTAAAACCTGTAACAAGTTTGAGTATTTTAAGAATAGACAATTTGAAAAATTTTGATTATTTAATAAATTAGAGTAGATTTATTAGTAGTAAATATTTCGTGATTTCAAAATTGCAATAATACTATATTGCTGCACGATTCAGCAATTCAAAATGATAAGCTGAATTTTGTATTAATGCGCAGTATTACTGTATTTTTGAAGTCAATAATTCTTTTAATTCAAAAAAAAAAAAAAAAATTAATATGTAAGAGAATTTTAGAAAATTTTAGAACTTTTAGAAAATATCACCTAAAATTCTTAAAATTTTACATAAAAAAATTTTTACTTACTTTTATTTTATGAAATTAAATCAAATTTCAATTTGAATTTCGGTTTTAATTCGAAAAAAAAATTAATATGTATTAATTTTTTGACAACATTTTTTCGGTAGTACTGAAATTATAAGCGGTAAACAGAGAATTAGAGAATTGTTGTTTGTTCATACATAAATATGACAAATTATAGTAGTTTATCAAATGCTTATTGCTAAAACATAAATTTAAAATCTAATTATAACCAAATTTTCTGAAGAATTCAATAAACTTTGTCAAGTTTTAATAAAAGTAAGTATAAAATTGATTTATTTGAAAAGTTCATTTTAAAGATTTCATTTTTGATTGCTTATATACTTTAACTTTATGTATAAGTAGTACGGCTAATTTAGAATTTTAGAATTACGTATATATTTGTTGTTCTACTACTTTTTGACTGATTTACTAAAACATCAATTTGCTAGCGAAACTCGGAAAAATTTTTTGATAATTTTTTTTTTATTTCCAAACGTAATTCGATATAAAAATATTTTTTGTTTCCGATTAACAACGCATAATATATACAGGAGTATCCAGACAAACGTATAATATATACAGACAAACAGAATTTAAATAAAATTTTGAATTTTTTTCAGGTGGGGTTTATGCATAGACAATGTTGGACATTTTTTATAGTATTTATTTAAAATGTCAAAATTTTATGATCCACTCATAAAATTTTCATTTGATTTCACGCAGTATTCCATACAATAAACTGGATTTATATAATATTATGTACAGATTATTTTGTATTTAAATTGTAGACGTCATTGCTGAATATTTGAATATTTTCTTTGTATTGTGATTTATAAATGTCAACATTTACGAATGTTGCGTATGTTATTCCTCATATCATTTCATAAATGAAATTTTATTGCAAAAAATATTAAAAATATCATTTCAATCACATATCGTAAATATTTTTTTACGGCTAACAATAAATAGTTGGGGGGGGTACTTGTTGAAACTTAGCAAAAAACAAAAATAATTGACTGTCATTTTTGAAATAATTGAAGTTTCAGATGTCAAAATACAAATTTTTTTATTATAAATAATCTTTTATAATAAATTTTTATAATTTTTTTAATTATGCGCAATTCTAATGAAAAACTTGAAAGAATAGTGTAAAAAATTTTATATTTTAAAAAAATTCAATAAGACTACATTTATTAGTGTCTCTTAATGTATGAAATGAATTTTATATTGGTGAACAACAAAAATGAAAAAAACGCTTGAAAAATATTTTTGCTTATATTTAAAAACATTTATGTTTATTTTATTGAAATTGGCACAATATTTTAATACTTAAATTTTATTTTTATACTTAAATTTTTTTCCTTTTTTTTTAATACACGGTAATAAAATTATTCTATATATGAAATTCGCAATTATGTTTGTACGGTGTATGCATATAGTCGCAGAAAAATCGTCTGAACAATTTACTATTTACGAATATTATGTACTTAAAATATAATGGAGATGGGTGATATTAAGAAAAATGATAATCCCTACATACACATATGTACATTATGTATATGTACATAAATATAGCGTAGAAATGAGGAAACGTTCTAGTGTACAGAATAAATTTAGATTTTAAATTTTGAAGATTTTTTTTTTTACGATAAGAATTCTTTTTGATTTTTGACAATAATTCTCTATAAATATTTGACATTTTTTTTTGTTAGCTAAGAAAATATTTACTTTTTTAATGACGTTTTAAATATTGTTTGAATATTGTGAACAGATTAAATGAAATTACATTTTTTGACTATATTATGAAGTATAAAATATTTGCTCAAATTCAAATTGGTAATGAGTTAAACAAATGTTTAGATAAAGGTTTGGACTATTTGCAATAGAGCTTTCACAATTTTGTTCTAGATGCTTTCTGAACACATTATTATTGAAAACTATTGTAATATCTGCCCTGAAAATTTTGTATGACTTAATCTATGTGACTTTACTAATTTGTTTGCTTAATTCTAGTATATTATTTCAATTACTAATTAATTTATAATTATAAAACTGTCACACTTTAATGTTTTAGCTAAAGTTTTAATTATCACATTTCAATTTGCTTAAAATTTTTATCTATAAATTCTGAATTTTTCGTTTGCATTTCCAACGTAATGTTCGAGTATTTTAATATAGCCTGGTTGCGTATCTCGCTTTTTTACTCACTTTTTATTCACTTTCAAATCATAGAATTCTCAATATTTTCTGATGGATGTTTCACTTTTCTCAATAAGATTACTCACTTTTAAATTGGATTTTTGCAAATTATCAATCGTCTCGTCTCGCTTTCAAAAACAAAGTGAATAAATTTTGTATGGATTTTAGAAAAAAGCGAGATACGTAATACCGAAAATTTAAATATTAAATGTTTGACATTATTATTTTCAATATTAAAATATAAAGTCATCTATCGGAATATATATGAATTACCACTTTGATTGAATACCTACTCCTATTTATTGGCGCGCATAGTTGTATATAGACTATTGTGTCTAGACTGTTCTTGTGCGTTTAGAGTTTCAGTGAAATTCTAGCTCTAAACAAATTAGAATTTTAGAAATTAGTATTCAGACTAGGTATTCTAACATGAAAATTTTCATATTTAAATTGATAGGATCAAGAAACTGAAAAAAAGGATCTACTTCTGAATCAAATATTTATATAAAAAAATATTTTAAATAGCAGCATGTGGTATAATAAAATACACATATACACTGAGAAAAAAGAAAGCATGTAACTTTTTATTTTTCTTTTTGTTTTCCTTTTGCAAATAATTTTTTTATTTGATTTTTGTTTTTTTTTTGTGTTATTATGTACTCATTTTAATGATAATCTTTTGTTAAAAGAAAAAATGGGCTGTATATACGCCATTTATATTTTATAAAGCATCAAAAGAATAAATAAAAAAAAGAAAACAGTGTAGTAGAAATGAAAAATTTGAAATTTGTATACAAAAACAAGAAAATAAATTTTTTATCATAAATTCTTTTCGTCCTTTTTGTTGTAATTGTTGTTTATTTGAAGTTATGTATGTTGTCAAGCCGCTAATAATAGAAAAGGGTAAAAAATTTTATATATATATACAATTATATGTATTTTTACATATGTTATTGTTGTGTGTGTTTACTAGAAATTGTGAAAATATACGAGTAAGATGAGAAAATTTTTATATTATGCGTGTGTAAAAATGCTGAACTCGAATTTGATGATTCTAGAAAGTGAATCAGATTTAATAAATGTTTATGTAATGTTAAGGAATATTAAAAAAAAGGACATTATATTTTATTATTGTATATTAAAATGAAATATATATTTTTGATATAATGATATTTTTATTCGAAAATAATGTGAAATCAGAGTTAAAGTTATTCTCACAAAAACCAAAAAAGAGAAAACAAAAATTTTCTTTTTAGCAATATGGTCTTTAAAATTTTATGATTATATGTAATTTTACTTTGTTTTATTATTAAAGGAAGAAAAAAGATATTTGAAAATAATTTCAAGGATTATAGGTTGTTGTTTTAGGTTTCTTTCTTTTTAAATGAAAATGTTTTTCATTCATGATTTTGTTTTTGTAATAATTAAAATTTTTTGTTGAATAGGTGCCCAAATTTAAAGTATTGCAACTACTTTTATATTCTTAGTTTAAAAAATTCTGAAAAATTGAGTGGTTGTTCACAGTTGGAGAGCTATTTTCATCTGTCTTTGCACTGGTCCAGTAATATGAAATACGAGCGACGCATAAATTCAAAAAATTAAATTTTCTATCATTTATAAATTATTCCCAAACAAACTGTTTCATATCACCCACATATAAATCATAAATCATATTTTTTTTTCGTTTTTTTTTTGTTTATTTTATTTCATATTTTCATTTAAAATCATTATTTGATCATGGTAATGTTTTTTTTTTTTCGTCCACATTATTTTTTTTTTTGTTTTTTTATATGTGTTCAGGCTGACAGCGATTCAGAAGAAACAGATTCTGATGATGATTCATCTCCTACTCAACAGTCAAAACCACCACCAGTACCAACATCTGGTACAACATCATCAACAACAGCTGGATCAAATTCAGCTGCTGCAAAAGCAAAAGTTTCACGTACAACATCAACAGAATCATCAGAATCAACTGAAAGTTCAAGTTCAAATGCTGCATCAACAACAACTGTACCATCAACAGTTACAACAAATCGTACACCAACAACAAATTCTACAGCAGCACAACAAAATCGTACTACACAAAAATCTACAACACAAAATACAACAACACCAACAACAGGTGGACAAACAACAACTGAAAAGAAACCATTTCAAAGTAGATTTTTACCAAATCATAGTACTGCAGTAACAAATAATACATCATCAAAGAAACCAGAAAGTGAATCAAGTTCTGAAACTGAAACATCATCTGATGAAGAATCAGAAGAAGAAATTGAAGCAACAAAAAAACCAACAACAACGACAACATCAGCAACTGGTTCAAGAACTGGTGGTAGTAGTAATACAACAACAACAGCAACACCATCATCAACAAATTCATATAGTAGTAATAGAAATACTGGTTCATCATCAACAACAAGTGGTTCTGGTATAACAAATGATAGACCAATCGCTGATAGCATTTCAAGCTCTAGACGTAGCTCTAGAGACGATACAAATGCAAGAACATCAGCATATTCGACACCAAGTACATATACACCAAGAACAAGACCAGTTCCAGCACCACATCATGAACCAGAATCTGATCGTTATAGTAGTACAACCGGTAGCAGGTAATTTTTTTTTATTATTATTATATTATTATACATATACATATACATATATATATACAACGTAATATATTATAAATTTTAATATATTATTTATACACAAAGTTCAAAATATACCTATATTTTAATTACGAAAAAAAAAAAAAATTTTTTTTTTGTTATATTTTGTGAAAGTCCAGATTTTTTTTTTTTAATTATTGTTATATAATATTAATTTTTATATATACATACATATATTTTTCGTATTTATGTATAAAACATTTTATATTTATTTTATTTTTATTAACTAATATTTTTGCGTATATAAGTAGAAAAGAAAAAAAAAAAGAGATAAACAATCACTTTTGATTTTTTTTATTTTGCTCTTGTATAACAGTTTATTACGATTAAATGTATAACTATTTGTTCTGTTCTTTTTTTTTCAAATTTTTTTCTCGTTATTTTTTATTTATTATGTATTATTCATAATAGAATTTGTTTTTCAGAAAAAGGTTGCCATATCTCAAATACTGGTATAATAAATAATAAAAAAAAAAACAAAAAACAAAATACAAAATTTTAAATGAAAACAAAAATAATTACAAAATATTTAAATTCAATATTATTATAAAATTACCTACTACTATAAATTAAAACAAAATCAAAAAATTTATATACAATTCCAAGAAATTCAAAAAAAATTTTATTGTATTATAAAATAATACAAAAAAAAAAACAAACTACAAAACCACAAAACTACAAAGCTACAAATACAACAACTTAAAAAAGATATTTTAATAAACAAAACAAACAAAGACAAAAGTGCTACCAAAAAAAGAAAAAAAAACACAAAAAATTAGTGTCTAATATTTCAAAAAACAAAGAAAATTAAAAAAAAATATTTAAGATAATTAATTGTCCTTGTTAATTTTGTTGTTATTTTATTTCTACATGTTTTTTTTTTAAATTTTAAATGTTGAATAATTTTTTTTTTATATAAAATGTTAATTTATTTGTTATTACACTTTTTCTCAGTGTATTTCTATATATTAGTAAAATGAGTTTAAATCATTTGTTTTTTTTTTCCAATAATAATAAATTAAAGTTAGTCAATTTATTATTTTTTAAACGTTATTTTCGTTGTATTTTCACTAATTAACTCAAATTGTTTCATTTTTAATAATATTTTAATTAATATTTCTCTTATATATTTTATTTTTGAATCGTTGCGTTAATGTCAAAAGTAAAAATTCTCCAACTCTCCTCTTCATAAAATAAGAAAAATATATATATAGAATTATAAATATTATTTAATAATATTTTATTATCTATGTGTATATCAAAATTCTTAACGTTCTTCCTTTTGTAAAATAAATTTCAAATTAAATTTAAGTATATAAATTTTTTCATTTTAAACTCATTAAATTATTTTCATTATAAATATAAAACATACATACATACATTTACATTTCATCTCTCCCTTTATTTATTCATTTTATTCATTCATATTTTATTATTCATTTTCTTATTATTAAAAATTATAATATAATTTATTTCATTAATAATTATTGAGATTTAACTTAAAAATTAGATTAATTACATCTTATTGTAAAAAAAAAAATGACATTTTTTGACAATTTAATTCATTTGACATTTCAAATAATAATATTAATAATATTTAATAACAATAGCAATAGTGACTAGTCATTTTGTATCAAAAGAAAAAAAATCGATTGTTAAATCATTTTGTAATATAAAATTCTGATTTTCGATACATTTTTAAAAAATTATCATTATTTTAATCGTATTCATTTAGTTATTAGTAATAAATAGAAGGTAAAATCATTTTTCAAAAAAATTAGTACAACGAATGATTGTTCAGAAACCAGAATTTTTTTTTTTATTAAATATTTTAATTCCAAACACAAAATGAAATTTTTTCAGTCCACTTCAATGAAAATTATAAAAAATTTATAAAAATATTAAAATAAATATAATTAAACAAAAAAAAAAAACTAAAATGTAATTTATAATAAAATCTCATTATTTATTAAAAAAAAAACTCTTAAAAATTTATTAATAAAACAATATTAGTTTTATAATATGTGCGATATAACAAAAAATAGACAAAAAAACGAATCAAAATTAAAAAATAATTCAATTTTTCAAATTGACATTTTGTCAATGTCAAAACTAATAAAAATGACATTTTAAAATTAAAATTGACAATAGTAAATTTTCTTTTTTTCTGTTTATATTTTAAAAAAAAAAAATTTAATTTAACCGATGTATTTGAGAAAATGTATGATAAATTAAATGAATTAAAGAGAGAAAAAAATATATATATAAAAAATTCGAGACTCGATAAAATACTTTAAAAATTGATTGAAATGGAGAAACACGTGACATAAAATAGAAATGGTACGTGATATGCAAAGAATTTTTATTGATAATTTTTTTTTTTGGTTTTGACAAACGGAAAAATTCCACAATATTATCGTGTTGTTTTTTTTTTTCTGTTCTCTTTTAGTACTAATATCGTACTAAATTTATAAAGTTTGGAAAAAAATAAGAGTTTTAATAGTTTTTTTTTAATTTTAAATAATTTCTATCTTCTCTGGTTGCTATTAAATAAATTTTCATAATGTAAATATATACATTTAAAAATAAAATTCATTATTTTAATAAAAAAAAAAAATATTAATTTAAAAATTTTAAGAAAATGAAGCATAAAATTAGTGAGAAGATAAAAATTTTATTAAGTTATTGTTCCATTTTTTCTTTCTAATAATAATTATATAATTATGCAGAATTTGCTTTCGTTTTTTATATTATGTTACCTTGGTAGATTTTTGTTTTGCCTCTTTATACGAAAATTTTAGTTAAAATTAACACAATTCTATTCAGCATAAACTTCGAATATAATTATGCCAAATTATTATTTACTAGGGTAACAATCACAAAATTTACTATATTAGAAAACTTTGCTATACATGATTGAAAAAGTATATTTACGATATTAAATTTTATATTTCAAATTTTAAATAATTTACTTACAATCAATATTCAAATAAATCTACTTTATATTTTTCAAATATTAAATAAATCTAGTTAAAATTAATATTGTTTACGGTTTATTGTCAAGAAAAAAGTCTTATTGATTTTCCTTGCGCTCCTTAAATACAAATTAATAGATGGTCTGATGACAGTAGTTTTGATAAATTTAGTGTCATTTTAAATTCATTCATTTGCAATAATTTTGACATTTAAATATAATGTAACATTAATCATAATTAAAATTTAAGATCATAAGATTAAAATTGATTATAATTGAAACATTACTTTCATTGAACAAACATTATTTTTGAAATGTTTAATACAATATAAACATAATATGAAAATTATACTAAATTGAATATTTTTAATTATAATTCACAATAGTATAATATTATATAATTTTTCAATCATTGTACATTATATTATAGTTTTATTGTTAATTAATTAAAAAATGTATTTGTAGTTTAAAAGTGAAAATTGCAATTTTTTATATTTTTACTATTATTATTTATGAATTACATATTTAATAATTTCATTGTAAATAAAATAAATCACTTTTCATTGAGCAAATTATAATAAACTAAAAAAAAATTAGTATTTAGAATTTTGAAAAAATAATTTGTATTTAATTTTTATTTTTATTTTAATAATGTAGATATTTATGAATTTTTTTTTTTTTTGTAAATGTTAGTCTAATTTTATAATATTCATATTAAATTCATATTGTTAATTAATTAATTTAAAATAGCAAATATAAATTGAAAACAAAAAAACATATTCTTCATTGTATTGTAATAATAATTTTGATTTGATTTGCATTATGATTGGAGCTATGCATTTGATATTATTTTAAATATTTGAAACATTTCCTTTTATTTTTTTAATGTTTTATTTAAAAATACAACAAATAGATATTTATTAATAATTCAATTTCCTTTATTCTTTTATAAAAATAATATTAATCAAATTTTCTTTAAATAATTTTCCGTCTAAAAAATTGAATAATTTTATGCAAAATTATAAAAAAACAAAAACCAAAAAAAAAAAATTTACATTCTATTTAAGAAAAACAAATTCTATTTTTTCAATTTAATTTATTAAAAAAAATTTAATAAATTTTCAAAAATATTCTTTAATACAAAAATAAAATTATTAAAAAAAGAAAACAAAGAGTATAACAGTTTTTAATATTAATATTTAAAAATTTATTTAATTTGATACTTTTACTTATTTATTTTTTTAATTGCTTAAACAATTAAAATTATTAAATTTAAATGTTGAAATTAACAAAGTTAATTTAAAAAAAAAAACAAAAAATAATAATTAATAAAAAATGCTTTATTAAAATATTAATTATAAATATATATAGCGTTGCATTATTATGTACAATTAAATTTTACAAAAAAATTATATGTGCTTAATTTCATGAAATTTTTTTTATCTAATTTTCATATGAAATATATAAAAAAGAAGGAGATTTTAATTATATAATTAAATTTGATATACAAATACAATCTGATATACAAAATTTATACTGATTATATTTTAATTAATTTGTAATTATAAAATTGAATATGTAATAGAAATTAGAATTATTATTTTTCTAATTTTTCATTTGTCAAATTTGACATGTTATTATCTGACATTTGTATTTAATAATAATAATGGGGCTTTTAAGTTAAGTATCGATTCATTAAGTGATAGTGATATCTATCGTAAAAATTACAAAAATTTTTTTAGAGACCGGAATAATTTGTTTGAATCGGTTTGTGTTTATAATAATAATATCGAATTTTTAACGATAACTATCACTATCATTTAGTGATTCGATATTCAGAATAAGCCTCAAATATTTTCCAATATTTTTCAAATTTTTATTTTGTTTACAATATTTTTATTAATATAATTAAAATCTCTTAATACACACATGCACTCACACTTAAAATATCATATAAATGAAACATTTACAGAATTTATATTGTGATTGTATTATAGTTTTTTCATTCTAATTTTAAACATTGTTATATAATAGAATACACACACATTCAAACATACATATTTATGTCAGATTTTGTTTTAGATTTTTTTTTATTAAAAAATTAGGGGAAAAAATAAGAAAAAAAAACAAAAATTATTTTAAATTTAAAAAAAGAAAACGCTTTATACAAATTAAAATTTTTTTAAAGAAATTATAAAAAAAAAAACATAACAAAATAGCAAAAAAATTTAATGTTATAATAATAAAAGAAAAAGTTATACAAAATAAAAACTGCAAAAAAAAAATGAAAACAAAAAAAAAAAAAAAAACAATTAATAAAATTAATTTACAGTTACACAAGCCGATTTTTAAATAGAAGTAAAAGTAGTGCAGTGATCCCACCATCATTGAATACATCAATTGAAGATGATGCAACCGGTGATGATTCAGATTCACGATACGGAACTGGACGTTCCAGATATTTGGCAATGAAAGAGAGACGTTCTAGATTAGCACGTAGTCGTTCATCGCATGCTCTCGGTGTAGACGATGATGATTTAGATGATCCACCAGTTTCACCGACAACAGCATCACCATCAGCATATTTAGCTTCAAGGTGTGAGAAATAATTCAATTTTAAATTCATATTAAATTATACAGATTTGTTTTTTTTTTTTTTTTTTTTGCTGACTATCAAAAACTATATAATTAAAAAATATAAAATATTAAAAAATTAATTTAATTTATAAAATAATAAAAAAAAAAAATTAATATAATATTTTTTTTCAAAAATTCTAAAATAATATTTATTATAAATTAATATAAAATAAATAATTAAATTTTCAATTAATATAAAATTATATTACATATATATACATTAATGTATATAAATCAACATTTATATATGTATATATATACATACATAAAAATCTAATGACGATTGAATAAAAGAAGTTTTTTTTTTTTCTTTTATCGCCAAAGCTTTAAATAAAAACAAATCATATCGCTCGTATATCGTAATTATTATATTTATAGATATATCGTATTTATTCAATTGAATAAAAATTGCATACATTTAGGGATATGCTTTTAATATTGCTTCAGCTGTCATTACTATTTTAGATACTACAATATTTTTTTGTAAATTAATAATTTTTAGGTGTTTAGTAATTTAGTTTTCATATATTTTGTTGTATATTATATAAATATAAAATAGTATATTACTATGAAAACATGTAGTTGATTGTGAGTTATAAAAAATGTAGAACAAGAAAATTTTTATTAGAATATTTTCATTAAATTCAAATAATTACAATAGAAAAATTTAATAATTAAAAAGCAACATTTTAATAAAAAAATAACTACATTGGTTTGAGTGTAATTTTTAAAATAATAATTATAATATTTAAAAGTAATTAATAATATGAGTGATTAATTCAATTAGTTTAATAAAAATTAAAGTTTTCTATTCTTTTCTTTTTTTGGCTAATTAAGTTTTTTATTCTTATTAAAATATTCTAACTTTGATTTATAAACTATATAAAAAATTTCTTTCTTAAATAACCAATATTTATAGATGACATAATAACATAAATGAATTTTTGTAATCATAATTGACGTTTTAGTTAGTATTTTATTTGACAAAATGCTTTTAAATTCGTATGATCTGGTAATATTATTTTAAAAGTTTGCTTGTAATGGCACCTTAATTAATTACGAATCACGATTATTTTTTATTGTTTATGTTTATAACATACTTATAATTTTGATTAAAAAATTACAGTTTTCATTTTTAGTTTTGACAGTTAGTGTTGTCATATTCTTGACGTGTTTGATGTTATAAACATAATGTGTTATATAATGATTATTTAATTAATACAATGATTTACATTTCTACAATTTTGTAATTTTCTTACAATGTTGGGTTTTAACATTATTATATAATGTGTGCATTTCCATTCCATAACGCTTTAAACTACTCTAGAGTAGAAAAGAGAGCATCGGGAAATGTATACAGTATTTATTATAAGTATTATCAACAATGTTATATTCAGCGGTTAGTCCTGAATTGATTATGTCAATATGATTACAAAAACAATATATTTAATTGATATTTTTTGAATAATTGGAAATTTTTTTATTATTATAAACATACGTGTGTCATTTATAAATATGGTTCACAAATATTCTTTACTGGACTTTTCTGTCTTCTTTTTCATTTATTAGAACTAGAACTGTCATATTTCATTTTCAATTTTTAAAATATTTAGGTAATTTTATTAATTAATTATTCATTTAGGTAGTTTATAATAGTTAGATGAAATTTTAGTTTAAGAATGGGAAAGAAATAGGTGTACATGCATTTTAAAAGAAAAATATTATAATTAAAAAATGTAAGAAAAATATTAATGTCAAAAACATGTAGCAATCATTCGTTTCATTCATTCCCCTTCATTTTTCATCATGATAAAATCAAACAAAATAATAATCTTTTCTTCAATGTTTCAATTTTTATTTTAACTTTTTTTTTTTGTTATTGTTGTTGAAACAATTTCTAGTGTTTTTGGTGTTGCTTCGATGTTATTGCCATCTTTTTTCTTAAAGTTTTACTTCTTCTGAAGTTTTCTATTTCTTTGGTTTTTTTTATTTTTTAAATTAATTGGTGTTTCTGAATTTATACCTATAACTTAAATATTTTAATTGAAAAGAAAAATATAATTTTTTTCTTAATTATAAAATTTGTTTCAGAAAATTTTTTATTACATATATTAAATTAATTTTGTTTATTACAATAACTTTTCTTTAATGAATTTTGGTTAATGCAATTTTCTGGAAATGTATAAATTTCAAGTTATATCGATCGATTATTTTAACTCTCATATCGATATTACATCTTGATATATATCTCAATTTCGATTATTTATATGATTTTTACTAATAATCGAATTGTTAGAGATTCATAAATGAAAATTGGGGTGAATATAAAAATATGTCGTAAAAAAAGTGTTCACTTTGTCCATTGAAGACACAAAATGAGTGTAAGAGTTTAAAAAATTCTCATAGATGACAACTCTATTCTCGTGAAACAAAAATTATTTGTAAATTATATAAATATTATTAAAAGCACTTACTTTGAAAATTGAGGTTAGGTTAATAAAATTCTTTTTAGAAATTTTAAAAACAAAATGTTTCCACTATAATTTTGAAATATGTGAATAAAATCTTCGAATAATCATTGTTAATATCTCTTTTGTGTATAGTAAAAAAATTTTTATTTTTTTTTTAGGAATGATTTTGTTATTTTAATTTACAATTCATAAGTTTTATGTGCATTTATACACCATATTTTTTCTGTAGATGACATTTTTTTTTTTGATATGTAAAATTCATTTTATTCAATATTATTCAATTTATTCGTTAATATTCATTGTCATTCTTGTCATGGAAATGTCAGTGAATATAACATTCAATGAAAAATGAAACATTTAATTGTCAAAATTGACACTCATTAAAAATATTATTTAATTTTTTTTTGGGTTTTTTTTTTGTTTTTTAAAATTTATTTTATAAATTTATTATGTTTTTTTGGATGTGTTATATGGGAAATTCTATTGTATATGTAGTCGTAACAAAAGACGACAATTTACAAGGAGTAAAAAATCTTCTACCTTATATAATTTTTATCTATCTTGTTTTTCTTATAAATTTTTTAGAAAAAATAAATTGAGTTTTTCTTCTTGAAATATTTCTATATTATTTGTTCCGTTTCATGTTTCATTTTTGTATATTCATCCTCTACAAGGATTTAAATTTGCCACACATTGATTTTTGTTTTCTTTTTTATTGGAAAAAAGAAGTGATTTATAAATAAAAGAAATTTTTCATAAAAATAAAAAAGATTCCATCCTTCCAGGGATTTAAAATGGGTCAAAAATGCACATCCAGATAATTATATACCGAATTTAAATAAAAAGAAAGAAATGTTGCTTGGGTAAGAAATTTTATGGGAATTTTTGATTTAGCATTAAAAAAAAAATGGTGATTTTAATTAGGTGTCGAATGAGAGATATTAATAAATAATTATTTTCTTAAAATTTTTTTTTGTCTCTATTAGCTTAAAATAAAAGTGATTTTTTTTGAAACAAAAATAAGGAAAAGTTCCTAAATATAAGTGGTTAAATTAAAAAAAGAAATTATTGAAATAAATGTAATTAAATTAAAAATTATAATAAATTTCAGATATGGTCCATCATCATATTCAACTGAAAATTCAGCATTAAGTAGAAGCCGTTCATCGCATGCATTAAAATCACGTGAAAGTTCACCAGCAAGTAGTGTTACTGACCGCGGTGCAGCCAGTGGTACTGCAAAAGATGGTGAAGCATTAAGTTCATGGGCACGTTATCTTAAAAATAAATATGGTAATCGTAGAGAATCAGCACGTGATGTATTAGCATCAACAACAACAGCAGCCCCATCATCACATACAACACCATCAAGTATGTCATCAGCTAGCCGACGTTTAAGTTTAGGTTTACCGTTACGTCAAGCAAATGAATATGGTTCATCTGACGATGACGGTTCAAAAAACGGGCTAGGCTCCCCTACCTCCCCTACGGTAGCAGCAGGTATAACCGGTCTGGCAGGTATTTCCCCTAAAACGTTATATTTGCGTAAAAGACAGCAGCTATTTCAATTGGGTGGCCGGGGGAGCGAGCCCGGATCATTTACATGGCCACGGGGTATTGCCGTTGGCCCTGATAATAGTATAGTTGTTGCCGATTCATCTAATCATCGTGTACAAGTATTCGATTCGAACGGAATATTTGTTAAAGAATTTGGTGAATATGGTAACAGTGAAGGTGAATTCGATTGTTTAGCAGGTGTTGCGGTCAATCGAATCGGACAATACATAATTGCAGATAGGTAATTTTATTTTAATAATTGCTGAAAACTATTTAAATTAATAATAAATTTGTATATAGATATAATCATCGTATACAAGTACTCGATCCACAAGGTAGATTTTTAAGAGCATTTGGATCACAAGGTACTGCTGATGGAAAATTCAGTTATCCATGGGGTGTTACAACAGATTCTTTAGGATTTATATATGTTTGTGATAAAGAAAATCACAGAGTTCAGGTATGTAAAAAATTTAATTATATAAAATTTTGAATTAATTTAAAAATTATTTGTTGTTTGTAGGTTTTCCAATCAGATGGCACTTTTGTTGGTAAATTTGGTACATGTGGACGTGAAGAAGGTCAACTAGAACATCCACATTATATTGCGGTCTCAAATACAAATCGTGTTATAGTTTCTGATTCAAATAATCATAGAATTCAAGTAAATTTTGTTTTTAATAAAATTAAAATTAATCGCGTTTCTAAAATGAAATTTTTTTTTTTAGATATTTGATGTTAATGGTAAAGTTTTATCTACTTTTGGTGGTGAAGGATCAGATGAAGGTCAATTTAAATTTCCAAGGTAATAAAATTTTCATTCTCGTTTCTTAACTTATGAATATTTTTGTATTATTAAAAAATTTTCTATTGCAAATATTTTAGAGGTGTTGCCGTCGACGATCAAGGTTATATATGTGTCGCAGATTCTGGCAATAATCGTATACAAATATTTAATCCCGATGGAAGTTTTTTAAAAGCTTTTGGATCATGGGGTTCTGGCGATTGTGAATTTAAAGGACTTGAAGGTGTTGCGATAATGTCAAATGGAAATATTTTAGTTTGTGATCGTGAAAATCATCGGGTTCAAGTTTTTTAGTTAAAACATATCAGAATTTTTTTTTAATTTAAATATTTACAAGAAAAAAAAGTTAAAAATTACAAAACAGTTTTAGAAATTTTATGAAATAATTAAAAAATAAATGAAAAGCTTTTGTTACTCCTTTTTGCCAGTCAATTTATTATAAATATTTTTTTTTTCTATTAATACTAGGGTACCATACATCCTTTGAATAAAGTAATGTTATTAAAATATTTATTTACTATTTAATATATATACATATTATATATATATTTTGTTGAGACTAATTAAAAATAAAGTTTAATTATCAAATTTTGATTTTAGATAATTTTTTTTTGTATGTTAATTAATTTTATATAATTTTTCCCAATTCTTATATAAATATTTTTTTTTTGTATTGTATTAAAAATAAATAATTTTGTTTATCTGCAATGTATAAATTATAATAAATAATGTTTAACAAAATAAAATATCATGGTTAAACTTAAATTATGGTGAATATTGTAAATTTATTTTAAAATGAAAAATTTGAGGAAAATTGTAGGTATTTTGAAAATATAAAATATTTACTTGATTTGATTTAGATATTTAAGTGATATTCGAAGTTTGAATTAAATTTACGAATTATAGACTTGACTGGTCGGTTGACGTGGCCGGTGCAGTTGGTTGACCGCAACCCAATTAGCGCAGATGTATAATTTTGCTACGATTACTCCGTGATGCGTTGCTTAAATTAAACTTTCATAAAAAATACAAAAGGGAAGAGAATCATTCAAACCCGCATCATGGCCATATTAAACACATTTGACTGACATTAAGTCAAATAAAATGTTGCATGTTCCGGACCAGTTATGCGTACAAGAAATTCAAACTTCTTATAACTTCAGTTACAATTTGCTTTAAATTCTATGGTCTTTATTAATTAGTTAAGACCTAAGAAATCATTATTTTTTTTGAAATGCATAAAATATAAATTAAAGGATTTTAACTTTAATTTTTGAAAATAATTTTATTTGTTCATTGAGGTGCCTTGATGAGCAATTTTATAGAAACTGAGTATTAGTATTGTTATTCTGAATTTAATTTGATTACCATATAATTTAAAATTTAAAAAATAAAGTAAGCATTCTTGTGTAGGTTTGTAGGAAGCATTTTGCCAAATCTTTTTCATCTATCAAAATAAATAAATAATTTACAAACTATTTTCCATACTAAATAAAATATTTAAGAAAAACCCATTGCTTAAATGAACTTTTGAATTATCTTTTTATTCCTTTATTTTGTTTTAGCATTATAAAAGAAACTGTTATGCATTAAAATTTAAGTGGGAAAGGTTTATATATTTTAGTTAAATTTGCATTTTCTTTTTTAATATATTTTTAAATTTTGACAAATAAACACAATACAAAAGAAGATCGGATTGTGATAATTTGAAAAACAAAAAGCAAATTTTTTTCGATTTGGATAATCTTAATTTGGGATTCGTTTACATAATTTGGTAATTTACAAAACACAAAAACTAAAACAAAATATTAAATTTATTGTGAGAATATAAAAATTATTGAATATATAAGAAAGATTTTAAAAAGTTAAAAATGTTTAATTAAATATAAAAGAATTGCATTTGAATAATTGCATATTGATTGTGAATTTTGAAATTTAATAACACAAAATTTGAAATTAACTTGAAATTTTTTTAAATCCGTAATTTAAATATTTGAATAAGACAAAAGCTAAACACAATTTACAACCTACAAACATGATGTTATTACCTTAGATAAGATTTATGAGAATTATCAGTCTTACTCTACTAGACGTGTTGCACATAAAAATGTGTGAAGTGAAATATTTGCTATTGTACTAGATTTGTTATTGGCACACTATTGCAAAAAATGCTCGGAATGTTATTCTATTAGACACATTTTTAAAAAATGTTACATCTTTTTGTCAGATTAAGTCACCAATATTCTGTTGTCGACAGAGTTATAAATTATTTTGCTAATAACCAGTTTAACATATCGGCAGTAATTTCAAATTTTAATCGAGTTAATGGAAAATTCATTTTCTTCACTTTCTTCATCGCTTTCACCAAAATACTCAGTTGCTAGTTCTTTTCTCTGTTACTAGTTTGTTCGAAAACAATATTCTAAATTTTTGATTTAAAAATTTTTGATTTAAAAATTTAGAATATCGACGAATGGGTTTCGGATTCCCATCAAAAGTTATATTCTATAATTTACAATTAGGAGCAATAAAATTTCGGTGTTATAAAATATTGAAGAAAATTATTAAAATATCTCTGTTAATTTCGTACGCCCGTCCAGCATTTATAAATATTTTTTAAACTCAGATATATTCTCAGAATCGTGTTAGGAAATCTAAAAAAAGAAGTAGACGCTGATAACTTTTATTTTGATATTTGTCTAAAATTAAATTAATATTCGTGACCTACTTTAATCATTCGGAAATTTTAATAAATGGTACAAAAATTTTATATTGAATTTCTTTCTTACAAATTTTATTGGGATTTGGTTATTTTATTACACAACAAAATTTATTTTCTTCACATATTTTTAATCTTATATTAAAATTTTGCTTTTAAGGTGAATCGAATTTTTTTCCCGTAACACATTAAAAACCTTATATGGTAAATATCATTTCTTCCAAGTGTGACATAATAAAAACAAATGTAATCGCATTTGTACGCATCACTATAACGCCGACGCATCTTTTCGATTCTCTTTTGCCGCATTTTTAATCGATGTAAGCGAAATGAGTTTGATAATATCAGTTGACCTTTCTTAAGTTTAACACTTTCAATTCAGTTCTATACATTTACGGTATGGATATTATCTTATACCGTTTTGGCAAATATTTACAAAATATAAACAAAATATAAATTTTTTTTTTAATATTGAGTAATAGAAATGGTGACTAACTTTAAATGCGAATTTATAGCGAAAGTGAAAATTAAGTTTAATGCCTTAATTTTTTTTTAGATAACTAGCGATGAAAATGAGAAATTCAGTTTTTCCTTTATTCATTTTAATACTTCAAATTGTAACAATATGTTCTTGGAGAACAATTGAAGATATTGATGATACGGCTCCAACAGTAAGTGGAATATCAAATGATGCATGGACTTGGGAAACTAATGATGATTCTAATGATAGTGATAATGATAGTGATGATGAAGAAGAATTATTTCCACAAAAACTTCAACCTGTTATTAACAATAATAATAATAATAATAATTGGTCTTGGCAAGGCTCATCTCATAACGAAGAAAATAATTATAATTATAAACCGATAACTCCACCACCACTATCAACAACAAATCGTAAAAAAAAACAATATTGGAATGATGATATTAATAATGTCCAATTTAATAAAAATTATGGAATACCAAAGATTTCAACAGAATTATATAAGGCTATATTAGGTGAAAGTAAATCATTTCAAGAAGTTGTTAGCTCAATTCTTAATCCCAGAAGAATATTAGATGAATATTATGCTGTATTTAGTGAGCCAAGTTTTCAATATCAAGTACAAAAAGGTGATTTAGATGAAGCTAAAATACTTATAGAAAAAAAATTATGTGAACTGGGATTAATGAAATGCATTCATGATCGTAATAAAAATTATTATGATAAAAAGAAGAATAATGATTATTCATATTCGAATCCGAAACCACTTGTATTTCCCAATACGAAATCCAAACGAGAAGTTAAAAAATTAGCAGAAACACGCCAGAGTGGATCAGTAATTATAATTTTCTTTTTAATCATAATTTTTTAGTAATTAAATTTTATGTTTTTTACATATTTTTAGCGTCTTTCAATTAATAATTATGGTACATATCCGGTAAATGATTTATCAAATTTAGGTGCTAATGGAATTAATTTAGGTAATCTTCCACAAACAATTGCAACACTTACACAAAAGCATATAGCACCAACTTTTGGATTTTCATTTGGTTTACCGATACCAAATGCTGCTTATCCATTCAATGCAATAGGAGGTGGTGTACCAGCTGTTAATCCATATTTTGGTTCATTAGGTCCAAATGGTGTTAAACTTGGTCTTATTAATGTAAATCCATTAGTATCAGTACAATATACAAAAGATGAATATGGTGATAAAATTGTAAAACCATTAGTACATTTACATATAACACCAAATGAAAATGTTCTATATAAATTGGGTGGCCTTTTAAAAGCTAAAAAAGAAGATGCTTTATATAATTATCATCATCATTTTCATGAACATGAATATCCACCAATAATAACATCATTACCACCAGCACCACCGCCATCATTTTCACCTCCATTACCACCATTGCCACCATTACTACCACCACAAATTGGACCAGTAACAGCACCAATTCATTATGATTATTTACCACATAATCATGCACCATCATATTATAATAACGATTTTCATAATTATAATTTACAATTACAACATCAACAGGAATTACAATTGCAACAGCAGCAACAAGAACAACAACAACAATTTCAACAACAATTACAACAACAACAGCAGCAACAACAATTATTACAACCAACACAACATCAGCATCATCATTATTATGATGATGATTTTAATTCAAAATTTATTTATTCATCATCATCACCAGGTTTTGATTCCGGAATTCAAAATTATCAATATGGTCTTTTCTATCCATATAGTAGTAAAGATAGTAAAGTTATAAAAGCACATATTTCTGATGTTGCACCAAATTATTTTAAACCAATTGATAATACTGATTATATTGGTTCTTCAGATTATAAAAGAATAGGATCAACAAAATATCATTATAATAAAGGATATCCAACAGGATATGAAGATTATTATGGTATAACAAGTAAATCACAAAAATTATATAAAATACGATCTGGAAAAAGTAATAAATTAAAATTTCCAGAAGGAAGAACAGCATCAACAGCAACATCTGATAATAATAGTCAATTGAATGATAAAAAAAAAATTTATTGATTTCCCAGAAGATTCCAATAAAAAACGTAATCTTAATAAAGTTCGTACAAAATAATGATGATAGTACCATGACTTATTATACTGTTCTGTTAATTATTGTTATATTTTATGTTTGTATTGTAGATTTAAATTATTAGATTAGTTATAAGATAATTTAAAAGATAAATATAAATTTATGAGTTTTATAGAAATTTTACTTGTAGATGATTAATCAAAATTTGATTGTATTCCAATATGGTGTTTATTCAGAAGAGAAAGTTGCACGTTTACAACCAAGTCGTGTGTAATGTAATATTTAAAATATAATACTGGTGGAATATGAGAGAATTAGGGGCTTCGAAGATTATTCCTTAAATGGTTTTTTTTAATTTTTCCGATTAGATTTGTTGGAAAATGATTATTGTCGGTGTAACACACTGAAGTGCATTTGGTGATGAAAGATAGTTTGTAAAGAATGCTCTCAAAAGCCGCTCAGTATCGCTCTAATGTTC